GGGCAGAGATCCGCATGCACACACGCGGAAGAGGCGCGCGCACGTGGGGACCCTGACACGCAGGGACACGCAGCAGCGGCCGAGACGCCCCCGAGGCACGCACGCGGCCGCATGCACACGCAGACGCTCCAGCCTCCCTTTTCCCGCCCTCTCGCCCCTCCACCCTTCTCCTGCGCCTCAGCCGCAGGGCCGAGGAAGAAGTCGCCAGGCGAGGTCTTCCCCTTGCCCACCCCTGCCCGTGACTCCGGGTGCTGGGCGGCCCTGAAGCCTGGTCAAAATGAACCCCAGGTTTTGGGGTGGGGTGACACAAGAAACACGTCTCCCCAACAAGGCCCAGGCCCTGTCTTCCCCTTGGCCACAGAGCTGGAGGAGGGTTAGCTGTCTGGGGGGCTGGGACATGTGTCCCCAAGAACTGACCAACAGAGTTTGGAAGGGCTTTGGGGTCAAACTTAAAAAGGACACAGTGCCGGCTGGGTGCTGTGGCTCAAGTCTGTAATCCCAGCACTTTGGGAGGCCAAGGTCAGAGGATTGCCTGAGCCCAAGGATTCGAGACCAGCCTGGGCAACTTGGTGAGACCTCGTCTCTACAATAATTGAAAAAATTAGCCGGGTGTGATGATGTGCACCTGTAGTTCTGGTTACTTGGAAGGCTGAGGAGGAAGCATCGCCTGAGCCCAGCAGGTGGTGGCGGCGGTGGGCATGAGTGTGCCACTGCATTCCAACCTGGGCAACAGAGTGAGACTCCAACTCAAAAAAAGAAAAAGAAAAAGGACACAGGGCCTAAGAAGGAAACAAAAGACTGAAGCACTCAAGGGGGATGAAAAACCACCTCACTTGGGCTTCTTGGAGGAAGAGGCACAGGAGTGGCAGATGGTCGGTTCAGGCCCTGTTCAGTGTGACTACGCCAGGCCTATTGCTGTCCCCATACACTGGAGACTCCAGGACTGAAGACAGACCCTCAGCAGGACCAGAGGGACCCACCCCACTAGTGAGCCAGAAGCACTTGTGTCCTGGGGCTATGACAAGGCCAAGACTAGAGGTGGCCGGCTACAGGGGGCATCCCAAGGGACACCAGCCCCCACAGCAGATTCCCCACCCTTAGGTGAGGCTGGGTCTGTGGTGTCACCCAACAGAGCTGAGGTTCAGGAGAACCCCGCCCGGGTCTCCTGAGATGCTTTCCCGAAGGGCATTCATTGCCCTCCTCAGCAGGGGGGTGGGGCAAACGGGTGGCGGAGGGGGGTGCTCTGCCAGGATATCCCCTCCCCTCCCACCCTCTCCTGGAGGATGCGCTGCGGGGAGGGCGGATGGGACTCAATGGTTTTCCTTCCTCCCTTTCTGGCAGGTGAGAGACATGGTGGGGCCATGAGGATGGCCAGAGCTCGCCTTTGCCTAAAAAAGGAAGCGGCCCAGCCAGCCTGAAGAGCTGGCGGCAGGAACAAGCGAGAACTGTGTCCCCACTGGCGTCCCCCACCCCCCTTGCCGGGAATCTTGGCAGTGGAGGTGCTGGCTGGTCTCCACAGACTTCAGGCCTCGGCTGGAACCAGAAGCTGCCTGGTGCTTCTGCCTGGGCCTGCGGGAGAGCGGGGGACCTGGGTTCCCAAGGTCCAAGGCCTGCCGCTCAGAAGGGCCTCACGCGCCCCCAGCCCCCGGCTCTCAGGGCTCTGTGCCGAGGTGGCACTGAAGGCGGTCACAGCTGGGCCTGGGGGGCACACCCAGGTAGACAGTGTGTCCTTGCCAGGCCGGGAGCTGGGCCACGGGACCTGCCAGTGGAAGGCAGCTGCTCACAGCTAGGCCCTTCTGGTCCCCCACCCTTGCCACAGTCACACCTCAGCCTGTCCTGCAGGGCTGACGGGGAAGTTTCCATCATTTCTGGAAAAAGTGAGTGGGTCTTCTTGGCTGTGACTCAGGCCCTCAAGGAAGCAGCTGCCCTCCTCCCTCTAGCCTCGCCAACGGCGAGAGAAGGAACAGGAGGCCCGGCCGCTGCCCAGCCTGGCCGAGCTCAGCCACCTGCCCTGCTTCGATCTCTGCTGGGAGTCACTCCAGCTGCTCCCGCCGCGCTCTTGCCCCCGCTATGACTGTCGCTCAGCCTCTCTCACCCCTGCTTCTGGCATCAAAGCAAGACTTGTTCCTGTGTACTGTACATCCCCCCCCCCGTCCCCACCCCCAGAGGAAAGATGTGGACAGACAGAGGGCTCCAGGGAGCGTGGGGTCAGCCAGGGGTGCAGTGGTCAGGGCCAGGGCTACACTTGAGACAGACTCCAGGGGAAGCACAAATGCAAAATTCTGGAACACTCTTCTCTGAAAGGAGACAGGCCCAGGGCAGAGACAGAAGCCAGGACTGGTCAAGCCAGATCACAGAGGGGTCCTGACCCCCAGCTTTCTGCCTGGTCTTGTCATCCTTGGGACCCAGGAGGAAGGAGCAGCCTGGTGTGGCCTTGGCCCAGGTGGGAGGCATCCCTGCGCATGGCTTCCTGGAGTCAGCTGCCCTGCTTGCCTGTCTCCCGCAGGTGGGGGGGTTTCCCGGAAGGCCTGGACACTGCTGTCAGCGGGCACCACCCTTGCCCTCACTGGCCTTAGAGAATGCTCCCTCCTCCGCACAATCCAGGCTTCTGCAGAGAAGAAGGGCCTTTTGTCCCCAGCTGCCTGTGGTCATGTTTGACCCCAGGGAAAAGGGCAGCTCCTGGGGCCTCTGACCCCACCCCTGACCCCAGCTGAGGGCAGACAGCCTGGGCCCCGCCTAGTGCCTGGGCGCCGCTGTTTTTCATGTTGTTTGTAACTCACAGACGTACTCATGCACACAGAGGAACACGGAAACAGGAAGCATCGGGGCCCTTTGTGGGCCTGAGACAGCATTATGCGGTGGCCTGAGCCCTGTGACCCTACCCTCAACAGTGAGTGGGCCTGAGGGGGTGTCGAGTGGGAACAGCAGAGCTTACCCAGCTCCTAGACTCAACACACTCACCAGGGTCAAGGCCTGAGACCGGGCCCTGGGCACCTAGGGGCCCATCTCACTCCCCAGGAGCCCAGGCCTGCCGCCTGTTCCCAGCGCCAGCCCCACCTGGTCCTCCTGCTAGTGTCAGCTAGGGTGGCAGGGATGATGCCCAGTGGGATGGTGGCCTGGGCAGGGATGGGGCACTCTGTTTGCACCCGTCCATCCATTAGCTGTGTGCCGGGCACAGTCACACACCAGCCTCAGTGCCAGGACATGTAGACAGCGAGCAGAGCCCCTTTCCTTCTCCTTCTGTAAAAGGGAGGTGAGCAGGACAGGGAGAGAGGGAGCTAGGAGGAGACTGACCTATGCCAGCACCTGGGGGGTTCCCCAGAGCTGCAGAGGGTGGGGGCAGGAGGGGGGCCTCAGTCCTCAGAGCCAACCCACCCACTCTGGCTCATTTCCTGCCCTGCACCCCACCCAGTCCAGGCTGGGGACAGAGTGACCACATTCGCAGGCCAACAGCTGCTCCTGCCCACTGAGGGCGTGCCTACAGACACCTGAGCTCCAGGAGCACTCTGAGTGACGAAGTGGCCTCCAGTGAGGTGAGGGGGCAGCAGGCCCCCCCCACTTCCACACTCACAGGGCAGGGGCCTCAGCCAGTGGATGTCTCTGGAAGCCCACCCGTGTTTGGCCCCTCAGGCGCCTGGACCAGGGGAGAGCAGGGCTGAGACATGGGAGAGCCAGGCCCTTCTGGACCTCAGGCTGGGGCCAG